TTGTGACTACTAGAAGAATTATTTTTATTATTATTTAATTTTATAACATTTTATGAGCATTAAGATCATTTTTCATATTTTTTTTAGCATTTCATTTATGGTTTACTTATCTTATTTGAGTTTTAAAAAATAAAAAAAAAATCGTTATTTTTTTAATTATAATAGAAAAATGATTGTTATTTATAAGTTTTCTTTATTACCTCGCCAGAAAACACGTAAAACAATTTTATTTTTTCACAAAACTAATAGAAAATTAAATTTCAAATAACTTTTACATGAAAATTTTTTTTATAACTTTAACGGTTCATCGTATATACTTAAATTGCCGAAATATATGAATTTTACTGGTAAACATAATATTTATGGAACTTTTGACTTTTAGGAGGTAAATATTTGACTTATGGGTTTTTTGCTAATAATCTTTTTTATGTAAAATATTTATATGCATAATTTCTTTTTTGTAAACTTTTACGTAAAAATCATATATTTTAAGATAAAGCGCAATAACTGAAAAACTACCCTTTTGATCGAAATTTCAACCCTCTTGCGGCACGTGTTAACGTCAACCTATCGGGACCAAATTTTGCACAAATTATTTTTACATGTAATAGAACAATTTTTGGTGCGCGTAAATCGAATTTTGAAAATTTGTATTTTAAGGACCACCCTAATATACATACATATATGTCTTTCTATAATATATAAAGCCGCTCAGAATACTAGCATTCATTTTCATGCAACATTCTCTGCATGCGCGTATATTATTTTTCCTAGTAACATACACGTGTGTGTGTATCGATTAATTTTTTATAAATAAATTAAGTTTTACGTAAGTACTATTCTCGTACTTTGGATTTATTTCTTTCAAAACGTGTTAAAATGTGGTACGCTGAAAATTAAAATAAAAATTACCTAACCTATTGAAAAAACTGTTCAAACATCACGATGCACAACTTGGTGTTTTATAAATCTGTTGACGTGTTCCCTAGTTCAATCGCGAACGAGGAAAAAACTTAAGATTTTAAGACTATCGATCAGCGTTAAAAAGATTGCTTCTTTCAGTAAGTATTAGATAAAGGCAAATATTAGGTAAGCCCTATTTAATACCATTGTGAGGCACTGCGCTTATTTACAATTTTTTATCGTAAAACGTGAATATTTCTATAGCTTTGAACATTTATTCATTACAATTATCATAACGGTAAGTTAATTTTGAGACGTCTCATTTCAAAAAACAACACGTTATCATCAATATACATAATAATACATTTTACCTCTGATATGATATCCGAGGTGAAATTTAATTGCTAAAAATTTTTTATTTTTCAAATTCAACTCACTGTAAATTCAAGAATGACTCGGAAATCCGTTAATTTAAAACTGAATTTCTACGAATTATAACTGTGACAACTCCTATGGATTTTATGAATGTCCTCCGTGAATCTATTTAATTTTTCAATACTGATTTTCTTAGAAACGAAAGTTTATGAAATATATGGAAAACATTTAATAAAATATAATTATGTCAGAAATTATTATAGTTGTAATTACGCTTTTCAGATGATGTTCAAGAAAAGTTTAATGATTTTATTAGCTTTATCATTTGCATTTTCTATGGGTACGTTGATGTAAATATTATTTGATTTATGTATATTGAAGTAATCGTAAAATATGAAAATGTTTATAAATTGTTCAAAAATTATTATTATTTAATTGAAAAAAAAAATGTTGGTTCCTAAATTAATTATAATATAAAAAAAACTATTGTTATTGATTAGAATAGATGCTAATTACTAATTAAATAGACGTGATTAATGTATACAGTAAATATCTCGAATTTAAGATTTACAAAAAATAATATATATTCTTTTCAGTATTGCTTAATACACGAATAATTTAAATTGGGCTTTAGTTATACAATATCCAATATTGTATACGAGGTGGTATACAATAATTAAATCAAAATAAATAATTGAAAATGATTTTTTTTNTAAATCAAAATAAATAATTGATAATGATTTTTTTTTTTTATAATTTTCAACACGACTTCTGCGTTATGCGTTTATAACTACTACTCTTGACCATGAATTTTGTTTGTATTTGACATCGTTAGTAGTAATGAAATTTTGAAAATTTTTTTTATAAAATTATTAATCGTGTAGTTAGATACTAGAGGTTACAATTGCTAATATTAAATGTGTTATATAATTTCAAACGGTCGAAGAACTCAAACGATCAATTAAAAAAACGGAGTATCTAGTTATTGAATATTTATTTTGTCGAACATCCAATGAAAATGTCAAGATTCAGATCATTTATTACGATTAATTTATTATTAAGTGTTATTTTTAGTACTGCAGCCATTGCCGAAGCGAAGTTTTACAGAATTACCGTTTCGGGAGGGACGGGGATGAAGCATCTTACCGGTAAGTCTATCCTAGACTTGCCAGTAAAAATGACTGCATAACGAAAAAACTATCGTTTTTTGTCTGGAAAGCCTAATAAAAGTTTTTCTAACCAATAATATCCTTCCCGAATAAAACTTATACTGTGGGGCCTGAAACACATGCATTTCCCACTCCGGCCTGGCTTATACCGATGACATTTTAGATTTGCACCGATTTGTACCGATTCGTCACCAAAGGGAGGATAGAACATAAATATGCACGATTCGTGGTAATTTGATGTCTCGGTCATCAAGTCGCTACATACAAAATTACACGAAGATGTTAAGTCGTGATTTGGATGTTCTATTAAAAGGGACTGTAGATCAAAATAAAATGACAAAAGTCATGGTAATGGTCGTGACATTGACTGTGGCTATGGCGTACAAAAACAACATCAACTCCTATTTCCTCAATTATATCTTGAAATTAAACATAAAATTAAATGGATATTCGAATTCATCCCTCGTTAACCCCTCCCTCCTAGCACGGAGGTTATGTAAGACTTAGTGCCGGCATTGATAAAGTGTAATACAGAGATTACATAGATTGTTGTAGCTAATAGTATTGTAGATAGTATAATCGTGTAATAGATGAACTGGAATTTAAAATATTTTTTTAATGATCGCAGTCTAAATATTTAATCACTACTACTTCTGTAGAAGAGTACAATTTATAAATTGCATGTTTGTGTACTTTATTCATTAATTTATTTTCAATTGTCATAAAATGTATTTTACCTGTATTTGTTTCACAGACATTGACGATNATCTGTATCTGTTTCACAGACATTGACGATAGATGTATTCGATGCCCAGCTGGGAAATCTGCCATAGTTTACCCTTGTATGCACAAAGCTTGCAATGACTGCATAATTTCCGATGATTCTATTTGTCCCATATGCCTCAAATCTACTATTAAGACGTGGGACCTAGGTAAATATAAATAAAAATAACAATTTTATCGTACAGGATATTTAAAAAGTAAAGAAACAGGTCAATTTTTAAGAACTTTGATAAAAGGGCAACTTGGATAAAGATTACCGTTCCCATAATTAAAAGTAAAAAATCACTTTAAATTAACTAAAAAGAAATTAAACGAATGGTAATCATCGTATATTTTGTAATTAATAACTATATCTAAATCGAATTTTAAGCGCCAGAAATGCTTTTCATAATTAAATTATTAACGCGATTCCGTTTAAAAAATATATCAGTTTAATATAAATACCATTTCTAAAAAGATAGCACGTTTAACTTTTTTTTTAATTATTGCCTTCTCGAGCTTATTGCTTAGAAGTTGCATACGTCTTATTGTCCAAAACGTTGTGAATTCGATATAACTACAAAAAAAATTCGCCATAGTTTTAGGAAAATATTGGGCTTTAGTTTTATTTTAAAATAAAATCCGAATTGTCATGCACGTGAAATAAAAACAAACAATAAGTAAATATGTCAGTCGTTTTATTAAAATTTATATGTTTAGATGCTTACAGAGAAGAACTTAAAAGTTTAAAGGCCATTTTTATGGATAAATCAATTACTTTTGAAAAAATCATTTCGCATTATTATTTTCTTCCACCTTGGCAAAATGCTGATGAACAAATGTTGACAGACATTCAAAAAATTAAAAACTCATATCCTTTTGAAGAAATATATGAGTTATTTAACATTTTACAAAATGGTGGTTTTAATTATACTATCGAAGAAGATTTGAATCTTCGTCGTAGGTTTTTTTGCGTAGAGCCTAATAACAGAGAGAAAATTATATTGCAAAGCTATTATAATAGAAATCACTATGACGCTGAAAAAGAATTAAAATTACGAGAAAAATTTTTCGATAATTTAGGTTTAGAACCGGAAAAACTTACCGTTAACGACTGTTGATTAACTAAGTATATATTTTTATATTTAATTGTAAATAAAAATTAATTTTTCGATTACATTTTTTTTTTTTTACACTACAACAATTGATTATTCTATTTCTGAATTAATCTGAGTGAATTATTATCATTCTTGAGCTGTCCCATTCAATCGTTTAATAAAAATAAAAAAAAATTAAATAAAAAATATAATAAAAAAACAAAATAATTTTGGCAAAATAATGCTACGTAGGAAAAGACAAAATATTTAAAATAAAAAAAGTTGGAGGGACATTAGTGTCGTAGTAAGAACCTCTTCGATGTCCACACTCCTTAATTCACAAGCTTTTGAGCGTTGGAGGAGCTTCCTTCGTGTGGGCTCTCAATAGTCGGCTACCAAGCGGTTCCTATGAAAAGCCCGGCCCTGTCGTCGACTTCTTGAATAGTCTCCGTATTCTCCGTGTTCTCGAGGTATGTTCAGAACACTAAAGCTTATTATTAAAAAAATTCAATAATTAAAAGGGGATGTTGGGGTACCGAATACAATCATAAGCAATGTATGCAAAATGAATGACAAATGTTTATGAATTGAAAAAAAAAAATTTAATGCTATTTATGACAATAAAAAAATAAGCTAAGTTAACCTAATGTGTGTAGCCAAAACGTTGTCAAAAACTTCCATACATTTACAATAGGTGTCTTAAATTAAGTTAAGCATGCTCGATAATAGAACTAATGTATACAGTAAAATATATGCGAAACACACACAGTGACCATCTCATAAAATTCAGTGTCCATTTATTATATAGAAAAAAAAAAAGAAATAAACATAATAGGGTATTTTGAATGAGGCTGACTTGCGCCTTAGTTGAGGGACGATTATTTTATATAAATTATACTATAATAAGGGTAGCAGTAATAACGGCTGTTTAAAAGACCACGATTTTGCTGCTGTAACAACTTAGTTAACTTATTAATGTAAATATTAAACGTGCATGTCGAATTGACTTTATAAAGAAATAAATTTATTTAATAATATTAACTGGCTCGCTCTATTAGTATCAATTGTATTTATATAAGTAATGTGTATTCAATGAGGTCTTAATATGTTATACAAAGGGATTGATTGTTATAAACATATGAATAGAAACTATTATTCAAATTTGTCACGTAAGATTATAACTTGGGATGTGGCGACCGTTGACTGAGATGCATGGAGTGTTATGTTGGAAATTATACTTGGTAAGTACCATAATAAAATAATTTTTTAAATTTAATAATAATAACCAAGGGTTTTATTTGCCACAAATATTCTTTCAAACCCAATTTCATAAAATTCGATACTATTAATTTTTCAAAATAGATTATTTAGAAGTAAATTTTCTTAAACCTCGTGTATTGTGTATTTTTTATCACCTTATAGTATCGAATAAAAATAATTTCATAATATATAATAAATAAAGGGAAGTCGGGCAAAGCCGATCGAAATAATAAAAGTCATGTTATATCATTGTTTTGTTAATTAGAGTAAAATTATGCCATTATAAAAATATGTCGATCTAGTCGAACGGAATAATAATAATAAGCTATAATAAGTAAGCCATAATTTTCAAACAGAATAATTCAAATATTCCATAACGTAATGCATCGGACTGGCCGAAAATAATTATAAAATATATATATGCCACACATTAAATTAATTAACGGACTTGCCGAGAATAATAATAAAATATATGCCAAAATCAAATTATCGGATTTACTGAAAATAATAGTAATATAAATATGCCACAAAAACGGTTATACCGAATAAAATAATATATAATAATGTTCCAATGAACTATTGTTAACTTAACTATGTTAAGTCGTGATTTGGATGTTCTATTAAAAGGGACTGTAGTTCAAAATAAAATGACAAAAGTCATGGAAATGGTCGTGACATTGACCGTGGCTATGGCGTACAAAAACATCAACTCCTATTTCCTCAATTATATCCTGATTAGTCGTTTTATGATGTAAAAGTATAACGTATGAATAAATATACATGTAACGTATATTTAATATATATTTATTTTGAATATATTTCTTTACATATATTAGTATAAAAATTTAAAGGCTTGATGTAATACTTTTTAAAAAATGTTTTTCGTTACTTATGAATGAATAAATAAGACTTTCATCGGAATCAATAATAGACTTTCACAAAATAAAAGTATATAATATTTCATAAATATTAATTTTTATACTTCGTAATATTAGTCAACACTTTTATGTGACTATATCCAGAAAAAATGTATAAATTTCCCTAGTACAAATATAGAATTTGGATAAATTCTACGGTAACATTTAGACTAAATCTTAACATTTAAATATCATAAGGAAATAAAATTACTAAAATAATATTAATTATTAATAGGAACATAAATATTACTAATATTAAGAATATAAAAAACTCAATTTGATTATCTATGAATCGAAACTAATTTCACTAATTTTTATTAGTATTATAATTGTACCATTATGAAAAGCCTAATTGAAAGACACTAGTGTTACCTATTCGACAAACATTCGTCGTCCTCGTGGTTCGATATAATTGGCAATTTAAACTGATTCTAATTTTTAAGTTACTTTTTTCGACTAAAAACAAAAAAAACTTTAAATATGTTTAACTTTTTATACTCTACGTTAATTAGATATATGTAATATTCATAAAATCAGTGTACTCCCCCTATAAGGTATATTAGAGTAAATTAAAATACAACACCAAGAACATTAACACGAAAATAGCGTATTTTGGAATATGATGATAGCCATTTTCACCATGAAGACCATCTATATCTAGAATTTTTTTTTTTTATTATTATATAAGCTTTAATTTGAGGTTAAATAAAAGTATATTATAAGCTTAAATTTGAGATTAAATAAAAGTGTAAATAATTCCGGATTATTTTTAAAAATCAAGTTGAAAAAATTTAACTTTTATGCGAAAATTGTTTTTTTGAATCCCCCCTGTGGTTGGGTCAAGAGTCAGTTCAAAATATTTATATCAAATGGTAGGGAATTATATACGGTTTCAATATAAGATAAAATTTTGGTTTGTTAATTTTTAATAAGTTATGGCAATTATTAAAAAAAAAAATACTAATACACTAGTATAACAGTATAAAAATAATAGGTAGCACAGTGAGGTCGTGGCACAATATAGACATGACATAATAGGATAACAGTAGATGATATCTGACAGCGATTAAAATCACTATGATAAGAGACGCTTCGATGCAAGTCTGTAGATAGTGTTTAATTTTAAGAAATTGGTGGATTATTCCAAAAGCAAAATTAACTACTACTTTAAGTTGATATTTGGAGGCCCTTTGAAAATAAAGATAAGGTGTCGAGACAATTTTTTTAAATTTATAGTACATTATGTAAGATTTAATTTAACATATTTTTATTGGGCGCAGCATTTCCGAAACATTTTCAAAAGTTGAGTTGAAAAAGTTCTACTTTTTATACGTACCTTTCAAGTTTTAAACGCCCCCTGTAAATGGTAAAATTTGACGATTTCCAAAAAAAGTATGTCAGATTAAAAAGGTATATATAATGTACTTAAAAACAAAACTTTGTGTTGATCAACAAATTTTCCGAAAAATTATAGCAGTTTAAAGTTGATAATTTAAAATCGAAAATTTTAACACCAAAATAGCATTTTTTAAACTTTGGATGCCGTTTGCACGTAAAAGATAAGTCGTTAGGACATGTTGGAAACTCGAAATATTTTCAGAATATTTTCAAAACTTATGACGAAATAGTTAAATTTTTGTGCAAGAGTTGCTATTTTGAATTTCCCCCTGTGTGTAGATAAAAGGTCAATTTTACAAAAATATTATATCAAATAAAAAGAAATTACTTGAGATTTTAATATAAAAAAATTTAATTTGATCTGTTCATTTTTCAATAAGTTAAGGCAATTTTTCGAAAAAAAAAATAATTGAAATAAATGTTGAAATTTATCGATTTTAAACGTAGTATCACATTTTAATACATGTAGCAAATAATACATATACTTAATAAAATATATCAACAAATCAGCGTTTCCCGTGGTTAAGATGAATAAAAAAAATAATACCCTTACACAAATTCAACAACCCTCGTACGCATTTCATAATACGCCCACGTAAAAGATTTTATTACATTAATCAATGAAATACAAAAAAAGATATTTCAAGAATCTCACCAGAGATCGGTAACATAGTTTTGCGGGTTATAAAAAGGCCATTTTACCTCAAATTCGGGTGCTCTCTTGGTAACTTTACCGTCTTCTACCGCGACAAGAGTTATAACTACACGACTGTGCTCGTCTTTGTGGTATTCTCGGTCAGTACACGTATATGGAATCTGAGTGATATATATTTTGCTTTAAATTACAATTCTATATCAAATATACACATTTTTTGAAATGAAATATCCATTTCTAATCGCTGGGATTTAGAGAAATGGTTATACATCTTATTTTCGGCCGAATACTTTTGGTAATTCAAATATTCAAACACATATAAAATATTGGTATTCATTTATTTTATATATATATATATATACACACTTCAAAAAATTACATGATTAGATTGCATTGTGTTCTATTACTTATTGAAGCGCCACAAACTGGCTGGACTGAGTACTAGCACAATAATATCGTAGTCCAAATTTCAAATAATTTTTAGCCTTCTATGAAGTGTCTTTTCATTTTTCGACTAGCCAGTCTGATCTCAGCCGTTTTTCCGAAAGGAAATAGCGTGAACAATCAGAGTGTAAGATACTAGTATAATCTATTGTGCAAAGAACTTAAATTGAGCTCGTATCTACCCTAGATCATTCTGCGGATGACTGAAGAGACATAGGCCACTTGGAAAGAGATTACTTGCAAAAGAAAGTAATGTTGTTTTATTGTTTTATAAATTATTAAACTTATAAATGCGTTAGTATAAAACATTATTTACAAGGCCAAAAAATACACCATATAAATATACAAAAAGGGTCAAAATAATATACCAAAGAATAAATTTAATTTTCACCTTGAATAGATTTAA